CCTCTCTCTCTCTCTCTCTCACTCTCTCACTCTCACTCTCACTCTCACTCTCACGGGGATTCGTATACCTTTCCCCCAGTTCTCGGAATTCTCGAGTATTTCGGGATTAGTTAATATTTTTATATCATCATTGAGGAATTGATGACCTCACTTTGTAGCCGAATTAATCAATAATGTATTATCTTCGGATTACATAGTTCAATTCAAATTATTATTTTCAAGTTGTTTTGCAGTTTAATCAGTTATTGTTATAAATATTTTTTTTGTGAGATCAATATGGAAAGAGAATCATGTAAATTAATAATTTTCACAAATTTCAATAGTGGAACCAGTAAGGACAATGTCGATTTCTTCATTTTTGTTGTTGTTTTGACCGCCCATTAACTCGTTTTCACCTGAAATCCACCCCTCTCTTCACAACCTAGCACACTGAGCGAACCAAGGACCGTTAACTTGGCCCAGAAATCTAGTTTTCTCCCTTTTTGTGTATATTTTAGAGATTTTCGAATGAGTATGAATTGATTTTGTAGGCTTCTCCGGTTTGGTAATTCCGGCTAAAAATTACCTGGCGCCCATAAATTTTGGAATTTTTCAGTTTAACTAGATTTAGCTTTGTCAGTCGTGTGATATGTACTTCAACCGTCAAGTTAAAAATTTTATAAAATCTTCAAAATTGTTAGTATCTGATCAAACAAAAGCTTGAAATCACATCTCGTGAAGGTAAGATCAAAATCCATTCGCTCATACATCATCAATTATCTGCTCTTATATGTTGAGAGATGATTCAATACGCGTGATTTGCATCGAAATTGATCGACGAAAGACATTTTTTCAAATGTAAAGTATGTTTCCCATTCGAAAAACTGCAAACTGCCTATGCTTGCAACGAGACTGCTTTCGTCTGTTGCAGTCGATGTCATATAAATTTATGTTTTGTGGCTTTCTATGATAATTATCCCCCGAGAAATTGTACGCCAAAACCCGAACCTATGAAAGGCTAATAAAAAAATTATTCCACCTGAATATCTTTAACCGTATTCAATTATATCATAACCTTTAATTGAATAGATCTCTCAATTATATTTCTAGTTATCAAGTTCTTATGAAATGAACATTTCCTATTAAATGAAAGAGGAAAAATAATAAAAATATAGCAGAGAAAAATTTTGGACCTGGATCGCCGGATTAGCAGGCGGACGCACTGGAACTCGGCTACAGCTCCATTTCGAAAACCGAGTGTTGGGAACTTATACATATGTTATGCCCAAATCTTTCGGACTCAATTTGTCCTTTATTTTTGGGCATCTGCCCCCAGATTTTTGGTGAGGGACACCACTAGTGACACCCTTCAAATACATGAAGACTGGATGCAATCTGTGTTCGACGTCAGCAGGCCTTTCCTTGTGAGAAAAAAAAACATTTTCAGGATAAAAAAAAATTATGGCCCCAAACCTTGCTTTAACGATTGAGAGATATCGAATCATTCTTTAAGCAACAATCGATAGGTTCCCGAAGAACTCATTTGGATGGTTACAAGATTGTAACAATTTATTCAATCCGCAAAATTTGTACAACCTTGATCACTGACTATAACAACCTTGAATGACTTATTTTTGTAAGTTATTGACTCTTGTCTCACCAATCTCCCAAGTAGCTCCAATTTTTTTTAGAGTTGTTCCATCTTTTTTTAGTTTTTTAGTGTGTATGTACCCACCGTCTGTCCTATGGGTTGAGGTCTTCATACAAGTGAGAACCTTAATATGCTGTCCTGTCTACGGCCCGACTACAAGGATAGTTTAGGTACTAGAGCGCCCGTCCTTGAAGGGTTGATATTATGAAAGCTAAACTACTGCTAAAGTTTTTGAAAATTTGTGCAGGGCGAGGCTGTAGGTCTTCCCCAGTGAGATCATGGAGACATGAAAGCGTGACGAATGATTCATCAAAGTAGAGAAATACCATGAGGCTTCATGTTAAACGCAACGAGATCTGTGATTGAATTGTATACGAAGCTGATGAAATAGAAGATCTGACAATTGTAATATCAATACCAGATCTTTCTCTCTGCTGAAAATCGACTGCCACTCATATGCAAAAAGATGGATATTTATTCATTTTTCGGTTATTTGCATGAACTCGCATATGAACCATGCATGAGAAATCAACTAATTTTGTATCGTAATACATGGCATTCCAATATGAATATTGCGCTAATCCACAGAAACGTATAATACTGTATTGTTATCGATGGCAATTCCATTGGTGAAAATTAACCAATTGGACGTCGTCATTGATCATAGTCATGTAGTTTAGCCCACGCTATGATGAAAAATTGTTTATAGAGAATTTTGAGCATTATAAAAAGGCTTGTCCTAAAGCTCTTCATCGCTTAGATGTAGGTTGAATTTTGTAACACTTTGTTTTAAAAAAATTCTAAACACTCGTCTCCCTTTTAACTGAATTAGTCTCCAGTAACATATCATCCAACGGCACTCCATCCTCACTAAAGTGCTGAGAATTTTCATAATTAGTGTCCTCATAATCTACGCCGATACTAGCATTTATATCCAGATGTCTCGTAGCCCCAAGGGTTACATTAATTGTACTGAGGTCACGCAAGGAGTTGAATTCTTTCCTCAAATAATCCCTACTGCTTCCACGAGCTTGTCGATTGACCAAAACTTCTTCATTTACATCCGGCACTGTCAAACATTCAATCAACCAAAACTCGCAATCGTTCTCGATACAATGATTGACATCTCTCAACGATCTATTGAAAATAGATCTATTTGATGTATTGAGCATATTCTCATTGATGAATCTCTTATCTTCAGTTCTTGGATGTTGATCATTTCTGTAGACCCCAGAGATCATATTCTGACTGTCTTCGCTACGGAAATCATCAATGGAAGCCCTAGTTCCGACCTTACAATTCTTCGTCCTCATTTCAACACTCCTCACATCATTACACGAACTTCTATAGTTATTTCGCCAGTGAATATCTTCAAATCGATCTTCAGAGAGACAATACAAGCTGCTTGAGTGCTCTAATCTTATCAAAGGTTTACCTACATTCTCCGACTTCTGACAGAGTTCATGAAGACTTGAACATTCAAAGTCTCCTTCAAAGATCTTTTTTGGAGTCTTCGTGGTCTCCCCGATCTCAGAAAGATCGTGATCACTTTTTTCACTGAATACTTGTGTCCCTGACCCCAACTCAGAACTGTACTCTAAGCTACATTGTTGAGAAACGTTCTTCAAATGTTTCTCTTCTTCTGCTCTACTATCAAAATCAGATTCATTGGGACTCAATAGTGGTCCTAGTGCCATTATGCTTTGCAAATCATTTCCGAGATCGTTCCTATGATCGTTGTCCAGCTTTTTAACCATTTCCTTACTTGTTTCCTGAGCTATTACGTATTGAATTGGCATATTTCCGTCATCAGATATGCTTCCACCACTGTCGGAAAGTATATTCACGTTGTTGAGGGCGTTAACTAAGTTTAACTCAACATGAATATTGGTATTGTTGATTTTAACACTGCTGCCAAAGACACTTTTTTCGATTTCCGACTCGTGGTGTCTTGCAGCTGGTCTAGGAACGGAGATGCAGCTATCTCCATCACTAGTTGCTCCACCATCGCCTTGCTTCCTGGGGCCCAAATTATTATGCTTCGTGTGCCTTTTTTGTTTCTTGAAAAACTTCCTGGCTACACCACTCTGCCGTGGATTGTAGAACATCTCAATGCAGGCTGAATGAGTAGCTTCAGTGTAAGTGATTACAGAATTGTTGGAACGATACTGCTGACGATGGAAAACAACCAAATTCATGTTTGGACTTTTATTAGTAGTTGAAAGACAATCAGAACCAATATCAGAGGTTTTATGGGCTATACATGCACGAGAGACGCTGGTGAGTTTCGACGAATTAAGAGAATTAGTATCACAGATCACTTGAGTTACTTGAGTATTCGAAATCGGAACTGAGAGGTTTTGCACCAGAGGTTGCACAGTTAAAGATGGATTTGTATCGGTGACACTTCGAGATCTGCAGCATCTGTTTTTTTTTTTCTTCAACCAACATCTCAGGAGGCTCCACTGATTTCTCACATCACTCCTCGCGATTCCATAGAACAGAAGCACGAATAATCCAAGAGCGCTGACAGAAATTCCATAAATAACAGCAAAAATTGTCTCTTCATGAGGCATGTGAAAACTGAAAGGTCTTACAGTCGCCGCAGCCCCTGAGAACCAGACAATCAAATACAGAATTAGGATCACTACCTGACTCTTCAGCTGAGTAATTTCAGAATGCTCGAAATCTTCAATCTCCGAAGAAACTGTTTGAGTCGAGTGAATACTATTTTGATCCCCAATGTTCTCATTTGGCTCTAATAACTCTAAATCCATATTTTCAGTTCCTTGAGTCCCTTCTGATAATTGTCCATTGTGATCACCACTTCTGATTGCACATCGAATGAGAAGATAAAAGATGCTAAGATAGAACATCAGAATAATGGCAGGAACGAAGAGAGTTGCCAGTGCAGGGCCAGAAGAGAGGAAACAATAAGAGTATCCCGCATATTCTCTTAAATTGATGGCTCCAGAAATGCCACAGACGATCAAAGCGATACCCCATCCCACTAGATAGATGCCTAATAAAGGCTTTTGAATTGGTTGCTCAAGGATTTCATCTTCAGGAACTGCAGTCACCTCAGGCTTCGATAATCGTTTATACATATTGCTGGCTGACGCTGCCATCCAGAGGAGACAACACAGGGATAGATAATGAAGGACGAGACCTACCGCCTGACAGATCTCGATGGAATTCGTCCGCTGGATCCCAGTGGTGTACAGAAAGCAAAGGAGAATGATTGATATCCAAGTGTTTATGACACAGTGCTTCGCCTTCTTCGGCATTATGATAGATGTGTAACAGATTATGTAAGTTACTGAGGTGATTATGAGACAGATTATCGCTACAAACGTTCCTATGTAGATCGCAGGGTTGGAGTATGTGAACGTTGCCCCAGAGACATACGGGCTATCATAGAGATATGAAGTATCTTCTAATAATCCGTAGTATCCTAACCTGTCACAGTGGAAAATGACAAGGTTGTTCACTAGGTTTGATAACTGACAACCTTTGGTGGACCATTGACCTGAAGAGTTAAATTTCATGTCCCATACGGCGGGTCTGGGTCGAATTCCTAGATGGTAGGATCGAGGCATTTTTAACATTATGTAGACAGGTTCTGTTAAGTTAACCACGGGATAACCTATTAACTTACTTCCAATTATTCCGGAAGTAATGTCCATTTTAGGAGGCCCTGTGGTCAGGGGTAAAAAGCTGTTGGAGCTGTACATTGAAATCATCAAATGGTGGACGACGGTAATATCCAAATGATGGAGTAATGAAGCTGGGAGTTGGATTGAAGCTTCTATTGACTTATCTTTAGTGTTCAGGATTGCAGTTCTATTGTTAGTGGCACAGTGCATGAGCCTACGTTTAATTTCCCCCGAGGCTGTGCTGTACCAGGTACAGGTGAGGCCCATAAAATTTTCTGTCTTCAGATTGAATTCTTCTAGAGCAATATTATTCTTATGGAGTTGAATTGAAGGAGTAAACTCCGTGATTACTTCAACTGATTTGATTAGTCTTGTACAAGCGTTGTAGGAGGTCTCTGAACACTTTAACATCTCTTTTGGGAGGGTCATGATAGCACTGATGACGTCCATCAACATGACTCCAAGCTCTGCTTCTTCCATCAAGAAGCTTAAATAGTTCTCGATTGTTTTTGCTATGAAATGGATCTCGATTGGATCTGTAATTTTATTCGGGTATCCAGTATGGTTTTTAAATCTTACAACGGTTTCTAATAAGTTTCCTTTTGTTAGAGACAGATTTACTTTTGAGTATTGTTCCAGAGCTTTTGTCGTGGGCGAAGTGAAAGGGCAAGCATCTGTATTAAGATTGATCCAACTACCTGTAGAGTTGCATTGGTAGGAAGCTTGAAGAGGGATTGTAGTGAGGGCGGAGAGACCGATTCCTTCACAAGGTAATTCGACTTTCCAACCTACTACTGTTCGAGGCCAAGCGTAAATTCCTTTGTTGTTCCTGGTGATTACTAACGGACAGTAGGTTGTATCCGCTGATATAACTATCATACTCACTGTTTTAGATTTGTTACCGTATATTGAGATTAGTTGACAGTTCCATTGCCCATTGTGTTCTTTCCTGACTGGGAAAATTGTGATGGAGCTGTGAATTACACCAGAATTAGAGAGATACCTGTTCTCTACTTTGATGTTGGATAGAATGTCTTGGGGATTTATAAAGCTCCCTGAGTCTTTGAAGACACTAGGATTCCATGTCCAGTCTAGTCGGGCTGTCCTATCGTCTCTTATGTTAGGCACACTGCATTCCAAGTTTATTGAGTCACCCGCGAAAATTACTTGGTTTTGGTCTGGGTTTATTTGTAGAGTTGGGGAGTTAAACTGACATTCGAGTTCCTCCGAGGTACGCAGGTCAAGGAGTGATTGACCGTGCAGAGATGGAGGGGAATCACACATAGGTGTAGAGTTTAACCGGAAGAGCGAAGTGTTTTTCCAGTTGCTAAGCCAGTAGAGATAGCAGTTGCATTCCCATGGGTTGTTGCTGAGATCCAGTTGTCGTAAAAGCTTTAGCCCATGGAGGCTTCCCTCGGAGAGAGTTTTCAAGAGGTTTCCATTCAGTTTTCTGAGGACAATAAAGTGCATTATTCGCAAATTTTGTTTTTTCTTGTTTTGTGAAATTACTTGAAAGAAAAAAATTGCTTTGTCAATGTGGAGAATCAAGATTTAATGAAATTTTACAAGAGATCATTTTTACAAAGCGTGAAATTCCAATAAGGGGTTGAACTGAAAAAATTGTGATATTTATTCAAACTGAGAGGCAAAAGGAAACTCCCGGCGGAATGATCCCGTGAATTTGGATGAAATCTTAAGAGTCACCGAAAATGAATAACATTCAGAATCTTAAAATTAGAGAACCATGGCGATTATGAGGGTCAAATAAGGGTTAAACATACCGCAACAAATATAAGAAGAGATTTTCGAAAAATACTTTTCAAAATACTCCGCTGTCCTTCTATCTAACCCTCTTTTCCATACGCGCTCAGCTAAATTTTCTACAGAAGAAAAGCGCTCGCCAGCAATTGGAAAATTTTTAAAACTAAAAAAAATTAGATCAATTTCACAGGGATAATTCGCGTTTGCAAATTCACCACTACTCCAATTTTTTAAAAACAATTCAATATGACGAGTATCTGTATTAGAATTTTATGATACAGGATCGATTTTCGCTTAAATCGATTCTTTCAAGTGAGAAAATCGGTCGCATCGATTTTTTTCCATCGGGGTCCATTAATCATTTATTAACGAGATCTTTGCTCACCAAAATATGGCACATATCAATGAAATAAAATAAACAATGGTACATAATCGAAAAGGAACTGAAACCCATTATTGAAATGAATTAAATGAAATTATGAAAAAAATGTTCTAATATTATCATTATAAATGGGTATATCTTCCACATAATCGTTCTATTTCAGTACAGAGCACGTAGCGGATCAACCTCAAAGGTCAGAAGTTAAACGGTCACAAGGGTCAAATGAAAGAAACGTGTAAAAAGATTCTAAGAGCAAACAAGTGGAAGAGAAGGATTCGCTTAAATCTTACAATCGGTTGACTCGTCTCTCCCGCCTGAGCTTTGTATGTAAAACGAGAATAGCTCTGCAGGAAGAAATATAACGGATTCCAGGATTCCCTTTCAGATTTCAGCATATTGTCATTCGATTTTAAAATATATATAACATCAAATCATGTAAACTAATTTTGTCGTTGTAAAAGTCAGATAGAAACATGGACGGAATAACCAGAAGTTTCACAGGCTCTTAATGGTCAAACTGAAGCAATGAGCGAATTGATCAGGAGAATGAAGCACGCGAGACAAGGCAATCTTGGAGTTCATGAAGGAGAAACAAAGAAAAACAATTCTAAGAATCAAATTATTTCTTTTTCCAAAGCTTTTTATACGTAGGATTCTTTTGTTCGTTTTCCATTTGACCCTCAAGAAGATAAAAGTTACAGTTTCCATTAATTGTTTCAATAATATTGTGAATTTTCCGTGTTGAAACTCCTTCAAATTTCAGTGAAACTGTCACTATAAAAATGTATCAAAATTTTGCAACGAAAAGTTTGCTTGAATTAGCAGCCAGAATTTTTGAATAGTCTATATTACTCCTCATTTTTATTAAACTATAGTATTGTTGCGTTTTAAGAAATGAGGTAGACGGACACTTAATTAATGCATAACCGGGGTGGACAGTATATTAATTACGAAGGCAGAATACAGACGATGATTTCTTCAGGATAATTCCAGAGAATAGAATGACGAAAGATGCAGATGACCGTCGTATCTCGACAGGCTTCACAGGCGTCCTTCAGATGGTTTACAATTTAGGGATTCGAAGGGGGATACGTAAACTACTCCCCTCCGACGAAAAGGTTGCGGCCACGGCAACCAGATCAGGGACTATTTGAGATGTTCCAACTTGAAAGAGTATAATTAGAATAATGCAAATAAAAATTTGGAAAATCTCACATAGGGAAGGACACAATCTGCTTTTCAATTAAAACCTCCCAAAAATCAACATTGAAAAGCAATCCCGAATCACACTTGCATGCTTGTTCGATTTTAACAATTGAAAATTTGAGGGATGGATGATACAAAGTTTGATGATGTACGAGAAACCATAATGAAATTAGTGTATCAGTCTCACTCATTCACAACGTGTTGAAAGAAAGGAAATAATTGAACAGTCAACACACACAAAGCTTCAGGGATTGAGATCATTGATCTGGAAAAGGAATGGAAAAGTTTTCAAATTAGTAATGGCATATTGCATGAATCTCACATAAAAATTATGCACACAAGCTGACTACTTTACAAAAGCAACTACCACTCTTCTGGTGAATACCTCACTCAATAGTGAGAGAAAACTATAAGAAGCAATTATCAAATAATTTATTGTTCATCAAACTAATGACAAAATCATCACAGCCTTTTCACTCAAGGCAAGCCTGTTCACTTCAGGTGGTTTATTCACTCTAGACCAATCCGTTCCCTCCGGATTCAGCAGTAATCACCTGTTCAGGTATGCCAGGTCACTCCTGGCGGTCTGTTCACGCCAGACCAGTCATTAGTTTATTTATTCGATAGAGAATTCTATTTTGAGAATCAACAAAGCCAGAAAAGTGGTGAAATCATTGCAATTTGAACGATTTATACCGTTTCCTATTTCTAATCAACAGTCTCTAATGGCCAAAGACGATTTGCGTGAACAACTTTCAATTTCCCGTGGAGGATTTTTCGAATGCGATAGACAACATCATTCAGTTTTGATTTGATTACATAGGTGTCTTCTCCCAGTCCTTTTGCAGCTTTGGACATTTTTCTTTGTTTCTTTTGGGGGCAAAGAATCAAACCTTTTGTTCAGGCTGAAAATGGATCATGGAAGTTTTCAGGTCGAATTTGGATTTCATTTTCTCACTTTTCATATTCCAACATTCTCTGACTTGGTGATGAATGTCAACCAGTTTTTCTTGAAGTTATCCAACGTAATTCGGAAGGTTAATATCATGTGATGTGTTATTAACTGGCGGATTGCCATACAGTAAATCTAAAGGAAGACGAAGTTCTCTGCCAAACATCAACATTGCAGGAGACAGGACTGTTGTTTGATGCTTGGATGAGCGATAGGCCAATAAAAATAGAGGGAGCCACTTATCTCAATTTCAATGGTTGTTATCCACAAATTTGGCGAGATAATTCAGGATTGTTCTATGAAGACGTTCGACCATGCCATTCGACTGAGGTCGAAGTGGAGTCATTCGGGTCTTATGAATTCCCAAGAGAGTCATCAAATCATTAATGATCACGCACTCGAAACTTCAACCTTGATCTGAATGGATTTCGAGTGAAATTCCGAAACGGGATTCCGAGACCACATGAATCATTAGAGCTTCCACGACTGTAGCTGCCTGATGATCGGGAAGTACAATAGCTTCAGGCCAGCGTGAGAAATAATTAGAAACGACTAAAATGTAACAATTCCGAAAAGTAGATTTTGAGAGTGGACCAAGAATGTCAATAGCAAGTCTTCCGAATGGAAAACCGATATTATAGACTTGTAGTTCTCCTCTAACGCGATTAACGGGTCCGTCTCTACTGAAGCGAATTCAAAACCTCTTGCTCCAGAGCTCAACATCCTGTTTACAAGTTGACCAGAAAAATTTGTTGCGAATTTTTTCAAGCATTTTGTTGACTTTAAAATGACCGGCCGTAGGAGAATTGTGACTTTCGGCAAGAATAACTTATGTTACTGATTTAGGAACAATAATTTGATAAATAATTTCCGTTGTATTAACTGATTCCCAACGTCGGTAGAGAATGTCATTTATTAATTCAAGAGAATCCCAATACAATAGGTGAACTTTAAACATTTAAAAGAATGTTCAAGAAAAGAAAAAAAAACAATTTTAATATGCAAAAAACTACGCAAAGACAGCTGAAATATTATCAAGCTCAGCTGTAAGCAAATGCTGTCCTGGTTCAACTGTTGACACTATTCTACAGACAAACTGACTAGTCCGTTCCCTTCGTAACGACCTCCACTTTACCTAATCCTCACACACATCCATGTCTCCCACCTCCGAAAACCAAGGGAACGGACTGATCAGCCCGACTGTACACATGGCGCACCCGCTTTTTGATCGACGGAACCTCGTAACATTCTAGCCCCTTAGACGTAAGGAAAAATTGTCAAACGGAAAAATTGTCAAATGAGAATGCGAAAGGGGCGCCATCCGGTAGTGACATCACGGAGTATGGTTTTTGGGGTAAAGAAGAGTTGTCAAGTTAGAATTGTACAGATAAATTCAAAATAATATTTAGTTTAAAATAACCAATTAGGGAGATATCTCAAGCACATTGAATTATACGTTATATGCTATGGGCCGATAAAACGGCATCCCTATTAGAGAAGCTGTTGAAGATTCGGCCTTATCTGCCCTCCTTCACTCTCCTTTTCCCTCTCTCTCTGGTTGCGCGTGCGTGGGTCACCTGCTGCGCGGTGGTCACTGCGTCTTTCGTCATAGCGTTGAGTTTTTTCGGCCATTATAGACGCAAAAAATTTTCTCCTCGCTTTAAATTCAACTGTTTTGGTTTTTATCATTGTTGCTGAGTGTCCTGTGGCTTTCCTAACACTAATCTGGATAGCCTTTTTCATCATGCCGAGTTCAAAGAGTTTCTCTGACCCGTCTCGGCCCGAGGACACGGAGGATAACAGTGCTTCACGCGGTGAACGTGACAGCGACCTAAGTGCATACGAGTACTCCAGACGTCATGAGAAGTCAAGGGATTATTTTGGGCTTGCTGATGACGAGGATTCCTCCGAAGAAGTTTCTCCACCACCTAAGAGGCGCAAATCTGATTCCAGTCATACGAGGCCCTCGTACGAGGCGCTTCAGAATAAGGTCAACTTCCTCTCATCTCTGTTTTCCCAAAATTCCCCCAACGAACCGGTCAAACAGCCCAGCACCAGCACACGACCTTTTCTGGCAAGGCCTGGAGCAACTCCTGCTTCTCGTCGCTTGGACTTGGGCTTTGTTAAGACTGACGTCGACGAAAAACGTCGTCTTCACCCAGCTGACCA